ACCCTGAAGTATTGTTTGACTTTCGATATGCAGGAGGGCACTGCCCATGACCAATGTTCATCTGCCAGACTCACATGAGGACTCTCATTAGGGCGAAAACTTGGACAGGTCAAAACCTCTGATACTCAGTGAAGGCAGAGACTCTAAAACCCGCCTCCCTACTGAAAAGCTCCTCTAGGCAATATGACTCAGTGCACACCCAAAGTGGCCACCAGCCACTGTGAACAATGCCATAGATCTGCTCGTACTGAATTGTTTGGTTGTCTGTGGAGGTCAAAAGTAGGCAGGGAAGAAGTTTGCTGGATTCACTGAGTTTGGAGAGCTCATGATAGGGGCATTTGGGCTTTGTGTCTCTCCCAGCCTGTGAAGTCATTGCACAGGAAGACCTTGAGATGAAAACTTAGCAATTCACTTCTGGGGTTAGAGAAAGGGGGAGGGAGAACAAAAGACTTCCTGGAGTAAGATAGCGTGTCATTGATGCTTTATTTACATGCGTCACCATCTCTTTTACAAACTAGATTACAGTTTTAAATGGAATACACAAGGCAATATCTACAAACACCAAAGAAAGTAAGGACTGAATCTCTATTTCATTTGGAAAGGGGAAGATTCCCAAATCAAACTGGCTTTGATTCTTGAAAAGAAAGATGGTAGAGTTAATTCATGGCAACATATGGCTAGACAAAATCCTCAGTGAGAATGCAATGATAGTGTTTGCTTTGGAAGAAAGGATGCGGCGCTTCAAACCAAAGTATTGACTACTTGACTCTTAGGTGTTGGAATATGGCCATACGCCATATTTAATTCTAGTTGTATGGAGTATGAGCAAGAAACTGAAACATAAGACAGTTTTACAGATACTGTATACATATTTTCCCCCCATTCATGCAACTTTTTTTTTTCTTAAAAAAAAGTTCAATGTGTGAAGCCAAAATGCACAATACATTTTTAAAAATATTAACTAATTTTCTGGTCCTCTTTCACACCTGTTTACATTTCCCATGTACATAATGTGCTAGGACAAGTATACGAGAGAAGACTGATTGCCAGGCAATGAGATAATTTTAGAGAAATAAGTGACCAGACACACAAGTTTTAAAAGCAGCCGCACAAATACTTCTGGAGGTATGGCAGATGCCTCATCACCTATCATTCATCAAAGAAAAGTACATACAAATAAAATTAGACAAGAGGAAAACACTTCATTCATTCCAACTGCATAAATGTTACCCAGGAAACATTCAGATAAAAAATTGTATACTCTTTTCAATTACTTGGGCATCTGCTTTCAGGTCTTGTTGGACAGACAAGATGTCACAAGGCCTTCGCTCCCCCTCCATGTGCCCTGCTGTCCCCGATCTCCATGTGAGGCTGGCTTTTTCGTACCTCTTAGCCAATGATTGCATTTCTATTAAAAATTTTGCTTTTCTTAATTTAAAAAACACACATATTCTGCCTAATCATACCATGTTCCCCAAATACAGCAGGAAAAAGGAAATCAGAGGTCAGAGCTGCCAGGGTTTTGTTTCTGCATTCAGAGAGAAAGGGCAACATTTTTATTTCCCCTCACCAGCCACTGGCATCAGTGCTCAAAACGGAACTGGCCGTTTGACCACTTTTCTCTTGACAGTCCTAAGAGATTCATTAGGTAGCGGTGAAGTCTGTGCCTACCACCTTGAACAGGTTTGGAAGCCCCCTGAAATGACACCCTGAGACTGGGCATATCTGTCCTGAGCAGCAAGAGCCAAGAGGTCCTCTCCTCAGGAAGGGGAAGCAACACTCATATAATGTCAAAACTCAACACCAAACACACGAAGTCCACCTTGTACCACGTGTCTACACAATACTCCCGTAATAGGAAATGTGTTTCAGCAATCATTGCAGAGGATGCACTAAGGGAAACTGAGCTCAGATTCATTCACAGTTAATGGGGTACCAGGAACCGGTAGCCAGTCCCCACACCAGGACAGCGAAAGCTTGTGATACAGCTCTTTTCTAACTTTGGTAAAAGGTATCGGTTCTGGAGTTCTGAAGAGAACAGAGCTGCAGAATATGTCCTACTTTCAATATTGGTTACTTTTCTAATTTCCCATCAGAAAGTGGAAGGCCTCCTAGAGCAGCTTACTTGGAGGCCAAGGGTTGCCTCAGAGCATTCTCAGCAGGATGAAAACATGACAGCAGCCAGGCCCTGGAGGCTACTAAGTATTTCGCTGGGAAGGTCTGATCAGAAAACTTACTGTGAGGGACCCATGACCCTCAGAACTCTGCATGGTGGCAAACAGTTGGTCCTTCCTGAAAGCAGGTCTCAATATAAGCGACACAGGGCTTAGGCTGAACCTCTGCTCAGTCTGACCAATTTAGAACCCAACTGGTCTAAAGGAGCCTGGGCCCTGGATGGGTGGCCAGCTGAGCGTGGCCAAGGATGACAGTGAGGCTCTGTGATCCTGGATGGGCCTAGTTATTACATTCTGACTGCCTCCTAGGACTGATGCTGGCACCTGATTTTGCCCTGACCTCAGCTCTCCACAACTCTCTACATGTAGATGCTGTTATTAAAAAAATAAAAATAAAATTCAAAGCTTACCTTTCCCTCTATTTTCCTGCTCTGCTCTGTGGCTGCCCTGGTCTCATACCACCTCTGTCCCTCCCTCAACTGTTTTAAATTATAATCTCATCCTAGGACACTGTAAGACACTCTGCCTGAAAACAAAACTGGGGGAAAAAGAGAATAAACAAGATGTCACATGTCTGAAAGGAATGCAACATTTAAAGTTGAAACACATTTGAGGGTTGCCTTTCTTACTCCCAAAGCAGCTCCCAGGGTCTATAAAACTGCAAAGGCAAATAGCTATGTTGTTAGTATACTTGTTTCTTTGAGCTCAGGAGAGATTCTCAGGGCCCTCACACTGGAAGCACTTTGGATTCTCCCATGTATCTGATACCCTCCCTCCC